CAGTTCCTACTCCAAAGCCCCCCCCCCTTTGCCTGTGTCAGGCCTTCCCACCAGCGGCTCTTTGATTTATTTTCCGTCACCTTTATTTTCTGAGTTGGCTCATTACAGTCCTCTCCCTGCCCACCTCTGCATGCCTGGCGCAGAGAGTCGCCTCTGAGCCTTTGTGAGGCTCCCTAGTTCTACTCAGGGCCCACTGGAGAGGAGTTTTCATACTAAGTGGACACCTTGATGTGTGTTGTGTGTGTGTGTCCAACAGAGTTCTGGTCTGGCCTCCTTGTTCTAGATGGGGCCTCTCGTGTACCAGGAGAGCTGTGGGGTTGGGAGCCGACTTGAGGCCCAGCAACTGGTGGAACATATCTGTCCCATTGCCCTGTGGTGGTTTTTCCTCAGACCTTACTGAATTGAAGTGTTCTTGCCCCAGTAGGCCTGGGAAGGGCCTGATGGGTAGGGGATCCTGCCAACCCCTGGCTCTACCTTCAGCCTCTGGGCCCTGGAGAGGGCCTCAGCTCAAGACACCAACGGCGAGCCCCTGCCCGAGAGGCAGCACCTTCTGAATGGTCCCAGACAGCATTTTGGAGTGCTCATATACCGCAAATCTAGGGCTGGTCTTGACATGCAGCTATAGGTGCCGATCCTTCTCGGGACAGAAGGACAGAGGCTGGGGAGGCCCAAGGACTGGTGCCTTGGTGCCCCAGTGGACCCCTCCCCCAAGCCGGACCTGCTGACAGGTTGGCTCTGCTTTCTGCTGGGCCACTGTGGCATGCCTTGAGCGAGGTGAGGACAGCAGTGATAATGGTGTTGGCTTTTCAGAGCTGGGCATGGCTTGTGCTGGAGCAAGATAAGGGTTTTCCCTGAGAGCTTGGTTTTGGGGTGAGAGTTTGATTGCCCCACGGCACCCCATGGATGTCCCCTGCCCTTGTTCCTGCATTTGGCCAGGGGGGCAAGGTCAGTTAGAAAAGGTTGGGTGGACAGTTCTGGAATACTGACCAGCAAAGGCTGAAGCCAGATGGGTGGCTCCATGGGTGTTGGCCCCTGGCTGTTCTTGCAAGCCTGTTGGCCTGAGCCTGCCTTCTCATGGCCAAGCGGGTCAAGGTCAGCCTTGGTCCCATCCTCTCTGGGGCCCATGGCCCCATCCCAGGAAATATGAAGGGTGACATAATCCTGTCATCTTTGGCAGGCCCTGAGGTGGGGGTAGAATTTGTTACTCAGTGGGCAAGTTTGCAGACGGTGGTGGCTTGGGGCCTAGCTGGAGAAAAGGTAGAGTCTCTCAGCAGGCGACAGGGGCGGGAGGGAGTGGTGGATGGGCCTTGTGTGCACAGTGGGACCCACAGGGAGACTGTTGGTCCACAGAAGGTTAGTTTCAGCTACTTGCCACCCCTCGGAAACACCCTTGGCTGGGAGGTGATGGGCCACTGGCTCAGGGCATTGCCTGTTAGCATCTGCAGGAGCCCCTCGGCTTGAGTGCCAACATCTGGGGCTCAGGCATCCTGGGTTGTACACTGGCAGGTGGCCTGGCTGGACCCCTCTCTTACTGCTGTAGCCACCTGCCTGCTGCCCGTCCTCCTCCCTCATCTCCTCACTTCAGTCACGAAGAGCGAGTGGTGTTCACTCATGGTGTCACTTGACCGTTACTTCAGTTCCACACATTTTAGCAGGCTCTGTGTGTGTGTTTCTGTCTCTCTCTGTCTCTTGTCTCTCTCTTACTGTGTGTCTGTCTTTCTGTCTCTTTCAGTCTCCGTGTATGCCTGAATCTGTGTGTCTGTGTCTGTATGTGCATGTACCCATTCCACAGCACTCACGTGGAGGTCAGAGGACAACTTGGGAGAGCCAGTTCTCTACTGTGCGAGTCCCAGAGATGGGGACTCAGCAGCTCCTTAGATTTGGTGGCAGGTGACTGCACCCTGGCTGGTCTTTAGCCATTTCTGGAGTAGCTTATTTCTGCTTCTTGCTGGGCCAGGAGCTGAGGAGGCCCCTGAGCAGGCCGCAGCCTTGGGTGGGTGAGGGGAACACACACCCGATCCTTAGGCAGGTGTCCAAGCGTGAAGCACACTGTTTGTAGCCGCGTGTCCCAGGAGGGCAGGGGAGGTCCCAGGAACAAGAAATTCAGTAAAGGTCTGGACTCTCGCTCATCTGCCCCTCCAGTGGTGTTCCATGAAAGAATCACTGTGTGGACCCCGTGCCCCCTCTGTAAGGTGGGAGCGCCAGGCTGCCTGGCACGCTTGTCTGGTACACGTGGGTTTTAAACTGAAACTAGCTCGGATGGAGTCTTATAACCCATCCTTCCCGAAGCAGCTCAGCATCCCGTGCTCGGAGTCACATGTGAATACGCTTCACTGGTTCCTCAAAAATAAAAATAGAACGGCTCACATCTGGGTGTATGTCCAAAACCACTGAAAGCAAGGTCTTCCTGGGCATGATGCTGTATGCCTGTAGGCCAGTGCTCAGGAGGCTTAGGCTGGGGGATTGGTGAGTTTGAAGCCAAGCTGTTTATAAGAGAGGGTCGTGGACTGAGGGGAAGAGGGCAGGGAGAAAGGGAGAGGTAGCCTAAGCTCCCAAGAGTCCCTGTGTACCCACGTTCACACCATAAGCATTTACATTGCCAGCCAGACACAGTTACCCAAATGCCTATGGACAGATACATGGGGAAAAGGCCCACTGTGCCCGGGCTGGAGACAGGGCTCAGCGGGTAAGAGCCTGTACTGCTCTTCTAGAGGCCTGAGTTCAGCACCACATCTGACAACCCACAGTGGCCTGTCTCTCTAGAGGGAATCTGATGCCCCCTTTTCTGATCCCCGGCAGCTCTGGGTGGAGGGCCTAGCTCCCAGCCAGCCAGGCAGGTGGATGGGGAGGCTTTCCTAGCTGGAGGGGTCACAGGGGTATGCCAGAAACGTCCAGGGCCCCTGGAAAGGATGGGGCTCCACTGTGTTCTTATTATTTCTCAAGCAGGGCCCCTGGCAGGCTGGATGTTTGGTTTGGTTTGAGTTTCTGCTGTGAACCTTAATGCGTGTGGAAGGGCCACCTGGGGCTGAGGCAAGCCTTCTTTGACTGGGGGTGATTAGAGAGAGCTGGGGACAGCCCTCCCTCCTTTCACAGCTCAGCAGAGAGGTGGGGGCAGGGCAGGCAGATGGAAGCAATTTTCAGTCACGTGAGCGAGGCCTGAACCACTGCTCAGCAAGGCAGGGCCCCTTGTCATTCTCCAGAAATCGGGCCCCAAAGCCACAGGTTCTGGGACCAGATGTTGCATGATCTTTGTTTATTTAAAGATGCTAGAAACCCAGGAGACTGTTTCTGAGTGGAGAGCTGACACTCTTGAAGCCCTCTGGAGAGGGCTGTGCTGCTGATCTGGGCTGAGGACATTAGTGATGGGAGGCACTGGCCCCTAGGACTTGTGCCGTTGCTTGGGGAGGCATGTACCCCCTGGCAGCTCCTGGTATGGTTACAGGCTTTCTCTGCTTTAGTTGCTCCCCTGGTGCTGGAAGTAGAGGCAACCGCATCCTAAAGAGGCAGAGAAACAGGAAGTGGCTGGTCCAGGAAGCCTGCTGCCTGTGGGGGTGATCCCTGCGCCTCCTTCCTGAAGCTGGCTCTGCAAGCCATTGCTCCTGTCCGTCCTGCCACTCAGACCTGGAGAAAGTGCAAAGAGGAACAGCGTCCGGCTTTGCTCCTGCTGCCTATGCCAGTAAAAAGGAGAGAAAAGCCGAAACACCAGAAGCGGCCAGGGCTGAGCTAGCTCAGGATGTAGGGGATGGGTTAGCTTGAGTTTACTGTTTTCCCCGGAAGTGGAGGGACACTTTAACCGAAGCCTGCAAAAGTCCCTGTGGTACAGGCCGGTCTTTTTGCTGTTTCCTGGCCCTGCTCACTTGGGAAGGCAGGTCTTCGAGGAGGTGACAGGCGACCAGGTGCCTCCTGAGCTCATATCCCCAGCAAAGTCTGAGGGAGGAGGCACACCGATGCGTTGAGTCCCTCCTTTGGGGTCAGTGTCCACCAAGGACACAGCTTGGGAGCTTTTCCCTGGAAGTGGGACAGAACATGGGGAAAACAGACTTGGCTGGAAAAGGGAAGAAGGCTTGGGAACAGCTGGTGTCCCCTCTGTGTTGGCTGTGGGGGGGGGGGCTTGGCCATGGGGTCACAAGTTGAGAATGCTGACATTTTTCCATAGAGGTTGGAAAAGGCTTTCCAACAATGCGACACGTGGGTCTCAGCAGCCCCACGGCCGCCTGGGTTTCAGAGTGGTGCTGCAGACTGTCTCGGCCTAGAACTTAGGTAGATTGTAAGCATCTTGTCCAACCAGACCTGGGTGGAGGCAGCCTTGCACACCCCTGCAGGGTGGAAGCACCTAGGTGACTCTCCGAGTGAGTCACCCCCCAAGGACTGGGCTCCAACCATGCTCTCAGGTAGCCGCAGGAGGAGGCTCTAACTCTGACCTACTGAAGGAAGCTGCGGTTTTTAAGTTTAACCCCTAGCCTATCCACAGACCTGCAAACCAGACCTGGCCTCTGCCTGAGGGGGAGGGCCCCTTGGTGTCCGCCACGGCTGTTTGTCCTGCCGCTCCTGCCTCAGGACTGTGTGGGTGGGATGCCTGGACACTCCTAGTGAGAGTGGTCAGGCCTGGAAGAAGCTGGTAGAGATCAGTGAGCTGCTTGTGAACCGTGGACTGTGGAGGGCCCTGAGTGCTCCAGCCACTTCAGGCTCTCTGAGCACAGGCCAAGGGCGTGCACAGGCCAGCCCTCACATGTGGGGCTAAGGGAGGATGGAACAAAGTGCTTGCTGCCTACCTGGACCCAGGGGAGCCCCAGCTGGCAAAGTTGGCAGAGATGGTCCTGAGAGGCGGGGGGCTGAGGGGGTGTGGACCTGTGGGGTGGAACCACACGGGAGATTTCAGGTCTGAGATGTTCAGCCGGAGATTCCTGGGCGAGTCTCGGGCCTCTGCAGCCTTGGTTTCCCCATCTGAGAGGTCAAGGGCTGCGGACCCCCTCCTCATCCCTCCGCTCCTCCCTCCCCAGGCTCCGAGGTAGCTCCCAGCTGTGTTGGCGACATGGCTGACAGCCCTAGAGATGCCATGCTCAAGCAAGCGCCCGTGTCACGGAACGAGAAGGCCCCCGTGGACTTCGGCTATGTGGGGATCGACTCCATCCTGGAGCAGATGCGCAGGAAGGCTATGAAACAGGGCTTCGAGTTCAACATCATGGTGGTCGGTAAGCATCACAGGCCCACCCAGGGGCCAGCCTCAGCCCCCTCACCCAAGTGGCTCCCAGGCTGTCATCCCTGCTGTAAGGGGGGGGAAGGTGGCTGTCACCTGCAGGACCCCCAGTGAGACGTGCCAGAAACGGTGCCTGTGCCGGGAGGGAACCACACTGACCAGCAGCTCGTCAGAGGAAACAGAGAGAGCAGGCGCAAGCCTTCTGTACAGTGACACCGGCCTCCAGGCCTGAGTAGGGCTTGGCCTGCATGCCCCGAGCCTGGTTGGGAAGCCCTGACTAGACTACCCACCCAGGAAGTGGCGTGTAGTAGCTACTTTCTTCGTCCGTGGCCTTGCGGAGCTAGAAGTAGCCGATCAGCATGACCTGAACGCGCTGTGTGTGGCAAACTCAGAAGCCCCCTGGGCCCCGCACACGGGGTTGCCTCAGCCACCCTTCTTGGCTGGAAAGAACAAGTTGTTTTATCTGTTGGTTATTAATGTGCAGAGATAGGGTATCACTGTGTGACTAGTCTGGAACTTACTGGTGTAGGCGGAGTTGGTCTTGAACTCACCGAGATCCGCCTGCCTTGCCTCCTGAGGGCTGGGATTAGAGGTGTGCACTACCATACCTGGCCCATGAGCCAAATTTTCACTCTCTGACGGGCATTCTGATGGCTCTCCGTGGTGGTATCTGGGCAAATGCCTGTCACAGGCTGGTGTCCTAAGCCAAGTAGAGTCTGTAGCGTGGCTTCCCACTGCAGGATGTCTGTTGGAGGAATTGTGTCTGTGTCTGTTCTGCCCAGATCCTCAGACGGCCTGCACCTATTGCTGGGGCTGTCATGCCTCTTCTGCAGCCACCTGGGGACACTCCTGGAATCTTGGTGTTCCTTCCTGCTTTGGGTGGCTTTCCTAGGGCAGGGAGGGGCCTCTGGCCCAGCTAAACCAGGTCCCAGAGTCCCACATTGTGGGTTTAAACTCAACCCTGGACTTCCGCTGAGGCGGTGAAGCGTCCGGTGGGACTGTCCAAGGCTGCTGTGCTTACAGGGTGAGGTATCCATTAGCTGTGCTCTTGGAGAGCCTTCCAATCGGCCCCCTTCTCTCCTCAGGGCAGAGCGGCCTTGGGAAGTCCACCTTAATCAACACCCTCTTCAAGTCCAAAATCAGCCGGAAGTCGGTGCAGCCCACCTCGGAGGAGCGCATCCCTAAGACGATCGAAATCAAGTCCATTACCCACGGTCAGCGCCACAGGGGCTGGGCTGGGCGTAGGGCTTCCCTCTTCCCAGAGTGTGGGATCAAGGGGATCCCACTAGAGAGGTCACCATGACCCCTCTGGGTGCCTTGAGACCAAGCAGGGATGGTGTGGATTCCCAGGGACCTGCCAGGCTGAGCTCCCACGAGCCACTGAGCCCATGAGGAAAATCATGGCCGGCCCTGCCCATGGCCATCATCACAGCCCATCCGGGGACACCCCAGGCCGGCCGGGCCACCCGAGGGGCGTTGGATGAGCCTCTGACTCAGGCTGCTGTGGTCTGTGCAGATATCGAGGAGAAGGGCGTCCGGATGAAGCTGACGGTGATTGACACTCCAGGCTTCGGGGACCACATCAACAACGAGAACTGGTAGGCGGCCCCAGAGGACCCTCACTCCTGTGGGAAAGCCCCCACTGGTTTGTGGGGGCCGTGATACCATTTGAGGTCAGGCCCCCCCATATAAGATCATTCCAAACCCTAAGACCACTCACATTTGGAGTCTTAACATTCTAGATCAAAGTGGGGTTACCTGGGAACCTCAACCTCCCACTCCAGGGCAAAGATCAACATGGGGAGTTCAGTGGAAAACCTGGGAGAAGCCTGATTCATCTTTGCCACAGCCAGCCTTTCCCAAATGAAATCAGGCTGGGTGTCAAGCCAGTTCTGGGAATTAGGCTGCCGTGGTGGCCTGGGAAGGTGGGCTTAGAGAGGACTCGGGCAGCAGGGGTCCCCGGCTAACCCAGATCTCCGTGCAGCTGGCAGCCGATTATGAAGTTCATCAATGACCAGTACGAGAAGTACCTGCAGGAAGAGGTCAACATCAACCGGAAGAAGCGAATTCCCGACACTCGTGTCCACTGCTGCCTCTACTTCATCCCAGCCACCGGCCACTCGTACGTCCCCTTCAGGGCCCTTTGTCTCGATGGGGGGTGGGGAGAGTGAGTCAGGGCTGTGTCAGCAGCTGTTATGTGGGTGTCTGTGCCCACAGACGTTCTCTGTGGCCTCTAGACTGGGCCACTCCCTGCCCATTCTGCCTTCTTCCCTTTGTCCACAGAGCTGAGGACGGGGCAGGCTCTGAAGGTGGAGTGGGCCTCTCAGGCTCTGTGTGTATGTGTGTTGAGGGGGTTGCTCTTACCTCTGGCCCACTAAGGAGTGTTACTGAATGTCCTCTGTCCCCTCTGCCTCAGCCATTTCTTGTCCACGCCAAAGATGCTCCTTGGGCCTGGGAGGCGGTGTCTCCCTCGCCCGGTACAGGCGCACTGTGACCAGGGTTCTTGGCTCCCTGTGAATATCACCTGTCCCTGATGTGTAGGCATTGCTACTCTGCCTGCTGGGTACCCTGGTGGCTTGTCCCGACTCCGTGTAGGGTACAGGCCAGTCCTGGGCCTCAGTGAGCAGCAGGAGCTGGAAGTGGCATGTTGATTTCTGAGCTTGGAGCCTCCTGGCCATAGCTGCTGGAGTCTGTATCCACTAGGCTGTTCCAGATTCATTCCTGGGCTTTGAGGGGACCTTGAATCTCGCACCCTGTCTAGAGAGGTCTGGTTATATAAATCCGAATACAGGAATCTGGGCTTGCTAAAAGTGACCATCTACTATGGGGCCCCCGAGAGCCCGTTCCTGGTGGGGAGAGGGTGCCGTAAGGCCCCACTTGGGTCTGTAGCTGCACCAAGCACAGCTGGGGGCAAGGCCCAGACTGGCTTCAGCAGGGAGAGCCAAAGGCACTTCCCCAGTGGTGACCCGCTGCGCTAGGGCCCTAGCTGGGCACCCCGCCTAGTTTCTTCCTCCAAGTGCTCAGTCCCATGGGACAGCAGTGGCTTCTGGCCATCTTTGCTCAGACTTCTGCCTATAGCTTCGCTTCCCACAGGCTGTCTGGGCATGACAATAGCGCTGTGGAGAAGCCGCAGTTCCAATGGGAAAATGATGCCCACGCTCAGGGGTTCTGTTCTGCCAGCGTCTCCCTGTCCCTGTGTCAGAATCTGACTCTCTGACACCAAGCTGACCTGGGGAACCAGGACCCATAGCTTCTTTTCACCGTCTCCCACTTCTCCTTCTCTCTGTCATTGAATGCCCCAAGGCATGACAGCGATGTGAGCCTGGTCACTGTTGGGTGGACAGTGTCCAGGGCCAGTTGGGCTCCGAGGATCTTGTGCTTGACTGTGCTTACTTCCATTCTTCTCTCTGGCTCCCAGCCTCAGCTCAGCAGCAGGAGTATTCACCCTGCTCCCTTCTAAGGCCCAACCTTGCCCCTCTATCAACGTGGCCTCCGCTGTGGGACCCGAGGCAGGGGACGCCTATGCCGAGTCTCATTTGCGCTACTCCATTTCAGGCTTAGGCCCCTGGACATTGAATTCATGAAGCGTCTGAGCAAGGTGGTCAACATTGTCCCGGTCATTGCCAAGGCTGACACGCTGACCCTGGAGGAGAGGGTCTACTTCAAACAACGAGTAAGGAGCATGGCCTCTGCCCTCCCTCTCTCCCTCAAGGACTGCCTAGACAAGTTACAGGCCTGGCAGGTCCTAGCAGCAACAGGGATACAGGATAGGAGGGGCACCCTTCAGCCCCTCATAGCACGTGTCCAGCCTTGGGGAGCCCCTGGCCTGCGGGGCTGCTGGATGCCCCCTCCGCCACTTTCAAAAGTCTCAGTAGAGCTTGGAAAGGAGTAGACCAAGCGCAGACAAATGTCTCAGGGCCATCGGACCCAGCACGCCTGGGGTTTACTAGGAGGAAGAGAAATCTGCAAGGGACAGCCTGCCTCGGTGGCTTCCTCCTTCTCTGCCATGGTCGAGGCCACCTACTGGCTGGGTGACAGGCCTGTCCCCAGGGACACCTTCAGTAGGATGGGTCTTGGGCCTCCAATGTGCGAAGCCACTCAGGACCTCTGGGGTTGTAACAGAGGCTCCGAATCCAGAGGCTGCAGGACCTCTACCCCAAGCCACACACGTGTTGGGAATTTTCCCAGCATGCATAGGGAAGGGTAGTCAGGGGTGCATCTGCTGGAAAAGAAACCAGGGGCCTCCCCAGTGTGTGAGAGCCTGGATATGTGTGGGCAGATAAAACAGCTGTCCCCTGTGATGCTATCAAACTGGGGAGAGTTTCAGAAGACAGGCACACGCTGGGCTGCAGGAGGGACCTGTGCTGGGCCTTAGGGGGTTTTAGGAAAGAGGACTCGGCAACCCTAAGTTATTTTCTTGGGGTAGTGACGAGCTGCATAGGAAACCCGGACAGAGTCTCGGGTCAGTGACCGAAGGGCCCCTTGGGCCAGGCCTTCTTAGTACAGAACTGGAGATTCTGGGCACAGGCATAGCTCAGGTGGCAGAGCGTTAGGCTAGGTGGAGAAGGCTAAAGGTTTGGTCCTCAGCACCACAAAACTGGGCACGGCGGCACATACCCATAGCACCAGCATTTGCGAGGCTCAGGAGTTCAAGGTCTTCCTTGGTTATCTAACCATTTGGGGGCTAGCCTGAGCTAGAGACTTCGCTTCCCGGTTCCAGGGGATTCCTGTGCCCTCTTCTGGCCTCTGTGGGCACCAGGCACAGGTGGTGCACACCCAGACGTGTAGCCAAAGCACTTGCATACATACAATAAAGGTGAAGTGGACCATTAAAAACAACTAGCCCTCCTCGGGCTGAGGCCATTCAGAGCCCGCCTTTGTAGGGCTTCACGGCTCAGGTAACTGATGGCCGATAGCCTGATTCAGGGACCACACCCCTGCACCCCCCAGATCACTGCGGACCTGCTGTCCAATGGCATTGACGTGTACCCCCAAAAGGAGTTTGATGAGGACTCAGAGGACCGGCTGGTGAACGAGAAGTTCCGGGTGAGTAGGGTGCTGGGAGGTCAGGGGCAGTGGTGCGATGGCTCCTCGTCATGGGAGTGTCTCTTCCAAGCTGGGAAAGGATGGGAGCCCACGTGTCCACCCTGGGTCCTATCGAGACAAGACCTGCAGTCTTCCAGGACCAGGGCCCAGGATGCTCTCGGGTGGCGCTGGCCCTGCTGAGCGCACGTGACTACCTCTTCTGTCATTTCTCCAGGAGATGATCCCGTTTGCTGTGGTGGGCAGCGACCATGAGTATCAAGTCAATGGCAAGAGGATTCTGGGAAGGAAGACCAAATGGGGCACCATTGAAGGTACTGGCTGCTGCGTGCCCTGTAATTGAGCTTGGGCCTTCACCTATTGCATTGTGGGTCCCAGTTTCTTCCCTTGTGGCTGAAGGGGTCACCTCAGGTGTACCAAGTTTCTGTAACTTAATTACTTTGTCCCAAGTGCTGAGGGCTGGGACGCCGGTGTTTTCTGGGGTGCAGCTCAGCATCCCAGGTGGGATGGTCCCAGGGCCTTTCTTTGCTTTTCTTTCTGCTTCTCCACCCTCTTCAGAATGGAAGGTGAGAAAGGGCAGAGCTGCCTAGAAGAGGAAACCTCACTTTGTTCCTTGAGACCAGTATGGTCGAAAGGCCCCCCCAGAGGAGCAGAAAGTTGAGGCTCTGAGTTGGGGGCAAATCTCCAATTCTCCAGGACTGCATCCTAAGGTCTAGGCAAAGCGAGAAGGTCCCTGATCCTTAGAGACATTTGTTTGGTTGGGGGGTTTTGAGGTGAAACAGGTCTCACTCTGTAGCCCAGGATGATTTGGCACTCAAGTCCTCCTGCCTTGGTGTCCGCCACTGTACCATGCCGGGGTGATGGGCACGAGTACCACACCATGCCGGGGTGATGGGCGTGCCACACGCCAGGCCTGCTGGAACCCCTGGAGGAGCAGTTAATCTGGTCATGACGGTGCCTCCTGGCTCTGAGCATAGAGGCCTCCAGCCAGGATGTCAGGAGCAGATTATTGTTTAACCCTTACAGCTCATCCTCCCTGCAGAGAGGCGTTAGAGCAGCAGTCCCCACCCTTCCTGACGCTGTGACGCTTTAATGCAGTTCCTCGTGTTGTGTCACCCCCCCAACCATAACATTATTTTTGCTGCCACTTCATAACTGTAATTTTGCTGCTGTTATGAATCGTAATGTAAATATCTGATAGGCAGGGCACCTGATATGTGACCCCTGTGAGAGGGGTCATGCCCACAGAGGGGTCATGACGCACGGGCTGGGAACCTCTGAGTTACAGGGACACGCTCCGTCGGTCAAGCGCCTGCCCAGCGTTAACTAGGGTCCATACTCTGCATGTGTAAACCAGGTTTGCTGGTCCCAGTCTGTGAGCTTAGCGTTTGAGGCAGGAGGATCGGGGATTCGCTTTCATCCATCCTGCAGTGAGTTCAAGGCCAGCCTGGACTACATGAGGCACTGTCTAGGAAGAAAGAGAGAGCAAGGGAGGAAGAGCAGGGTATGAGCGCAGAATGAATAAACACCCAGGGCTCCATATTGGGAGGTGATTTGGGGCTCCGAGTGGCACTGGAGCCCCCCTGGTCTTTCTGAGATGAGCACTGAGGAGGACCTGTCTGCCCTTCCAGCCCCTCACTTTCCCTGCTGTGCCTCCTGTATAGGTATGCCAGATAGGGGTACCCTGGGGGATATTTCTGGGTGTTTTCAGTAGCATGGCCTCCTATAGTATCATCTTCAGTGGCAGATGCTGACCCCAGCGGGAAATCTGAGGGCCATTGTGCAGCTCAAGAGCTTGTCTTCACTTTCCCTCAGGCCCTCCTTCCCATCTTTGCTTATCCACTCACTCTGCCTCCCTCTCCAAATATGCAAGGCAAGGCTTAGAGGCCAGGAAAGTTTGGGGTAAGAGCGCTGGGGATCTGGGAGTGGCATGGAGTATTGACATGTCTCTTCTGACCCCTGGTGGCCATCTTGGGCACTGCATGCACTCAATGCAAATTCGTCAAGAAGTGAACCAGGTTAGATTACTGTTCACAGCTGAGGACCCAAGCTGCCTCTGGGAACCTGTAACAGTGCTCCCCAGGTGCTGGTTGCCACATCCAGCATCCTAACTGTGAGGACCTGGGAGCTTATCAGAACAAGGTGGGAGTTCCTGTCAGAGAAGCCGTGAGCTCCTAACTGACCAATCTCATTCACCTGTGCCCACTCCTCCCTGGTGTGCACCATCCAGCGTGTCGTTCAGCCCTTGGAAGCTGGCTAGAGTGCTGCCTGGAGAGTGGACAGCTGCTCTGTTTGTTGAGGGCAATGTAGTCAGAAGCTTCACAAAGTCAAACGACACCATTGGCTCATTTGGTCTTTTTGCCCTTGGGGCAGGAGCCATGCCATTCTCCCATTGAAACTCCTCTCTACAGGCTATTTATTAACTTACTTACCTTACTGGGGGAAGAGGGCGTATGCATGCCAGGCCGTGCCTGTGGTAGTAAGAGGACAACTTGGAATAGTCAATTCTTTCCTTCTACCATGTGGTTCCTGGAATCAAACTTGGGTCATTGGGCAAATGCCCTTACCCACTAAGCCATTGGCCCATTTTATTGGGAATCTGGGTCAGAGAATCCAACAGAACTAGCCCAGATTGTGAGGAATTAGGGGTGTATTTTGGCTGACGGTTCCAGGGTGCAGTGGGTCATGACGGGGAGTCCTGGTGGCATGACAGGAGGCAGTTGGGCATGTGGCATCCATGGTCAGGAAGCAGAGAGACATGAATGCTGGACCTCAGCTCACTTTCTCCTTCTATTCGGCCGGAAAAACCCAGCCCATGGGGAGGAAGATGTCCATGTTCAGGCCGGGTCTGCCCTCTGCTCACACTCTAGAGTGCGCCTTCCGGAGGCTCCAGGGCCGGAGGAGTAACTGTCAGTGTCCCTGGCGTGTGTGGGGGCTCTCTGTGGCATTGCTGCATAGGAGCGGAGGGAGGGTTTCCTTCCCCGGGCCACTGAGCGTCCTTCTGTTTCCCTTAGTTGAGAATACCACTCACTGTGAATTTGCCTACCTGCGTGATCTCCTCATAAGGTGAGTCAGCCCCTTGGGAACAACAGTTCTGGGGTTTAGGGGTGGCAGGTGGGTAGACAGAGGCCACACCCTGCTGGCCATCTGTCTTGTCCTCAGGAATACTTCTGAAGCCCCTGAACACAAAACCAAACCCTGGGAAGGAATGACACGATGGGAATTCTTTCTAACCTTATGACGTCACCAGGATGAGAGGGCTGTTTCTATTCCCTGTGGTCTAACCTTGCTGGATTCAGCTATGGCTGGGGGCATAGCCTGGGCTGTAGGTCTCAAAAAAGAAGTACAACGAAACCTGTTATTTTGCATGATTAATATATATTTAAAAAAAAAAAAAGACATAGGGCAAGGCTCTCTGAGGGACCTAGAATGGGACTTGAGCTCTTTCCCTTTAGGGCTCCCCGTCCTCCCAGCTTCCCATTCCAAAGTAAAGAGGAGGGGAGGTCTGCAGCGTGGGTCAGTGGTAGAGCTTGCATGGCAGTCTTGAGGTCCTGGCTCCCACCCGCAAAAGGAAACTTAACTCAGAGATGGCTGGGTGGACAGCGCTGGGGACTGTGGTCACCTGCTGCCTCTTACTGGCCACAGCCTGAACGTCCGTGTTGGAGCACAAATCCCCCCATCCTGCCCACGGTTGGGGCCCTGGGACCTTCTTCAAGCTTATGTTTCTGTACCCTGCCCCCCATCCCTGAGTAGCCACAGTGTGGACACAGAGAGGGGGAGGAATGGCTTACAGTGTGAGGCCACAGAGGGTCTGGAGTCACCAGAGAGTGGACTCCGCCTGGTCCTGCTGGCTGTGCACTGGGAGCCTGGGGGCCGGGAGGGCCTGGTGGTCGTGATCCCAGACAGGCTGAGTGGTCACCCCCATGCTGGCCGTGTCCCCTGCAGGACGCACATGCAGAACATCAAAGACATCACCAGCAGCATCCATTTTGAAGCCTACCGCGTGAAACGGCTCAATGAGGGCAACAGCGCCATGGCCAACGGGGTTGAGGAGAAGGAGCCGGAAGCCCAGGAGATGTAGACGTTAACCTGCCCCTGGACCCCACCCCCAAACCTTTTCATTGTCCCTGGCCCACCCACCTCCCCCGTCTTATTTTATATAATTATCTCCTTTGGTCACCTGCCTCCATCTCTTTCCATACTCTGCCAGGTAACAGGAGAGGGCTTACCTCCCCAGTGTGCTCTTAACTGGCTGCAGCAGCAAGGTGGGCGGGACTATGGCCTGGGCTTGCCCCTGTGCCCTATTCCCGCCTCATGCTGTGAAGCCAGACCTAGACTGGGCTCAGCCCCTGAGGGGTTAGAAGAGCCGTGTGTCCGTGCCTACTCTGAGTTCTGAGCTAACGCCTGTGGGAGCCAGGTCCCAGGTCCCAGGGTGCAGAGGGGCCCGTTAAGCCACAAGTCCCCATGCCATAGCAGGTCAAGGCTGCACCAGGGGAGGATGGAGCTGCGAGTCCCGGGACCCGCCTTTCCCTGCCTGCTCCTCCTCAAGGAAAGCAGAGACTTCCACAGCCAGAGTGGCCAATCACTTAGACATAGTGACAGCCGTGCCCCTCAAGCTTGTCCCAGAGCAGAAAGTGCCTTGGTCCACAAGAGCCAGTCACCTCTTCCCAGCTGTCCCTTTGGATGAAAAGCAGGGACACGCTGGAGAGAGGGAAGTGTCCTCCTCCTCACCCCTTGCTTCTCCCTCCCTGTGCTGTAGATATGGCTACTACACTGGGCTTTAATTATGAAAACAAAGCATGAATGAGGCGCCCCAGCCTCACTCCTGACCTTAGGAAGGTCAAAGCAAGCAGACTCGGTGGAGCTGAGAGAGGAAGCCGTGGAAGGAAGGAAGGTGGAGGGTGTGTGGGCACCGTCCTTCCTGGGTCCCATGGAAGGGCTATCTATTTGGTCCTCAGTTTGGTCCAACATGTTCCTGTTACATCACCCCCCCTCCACGTACTGTCCAGGCTCAAGCCTTGGTGATTCAGAGACTGCATTGGGTGGGAGCCAGAAAAACCTGTCCATTCTGCTGTCAACATGTGCCTAGGCCCCTGTGCCCCACGACCCATCATGAGCACCCCCAGGGAGGGAGAGACGAGGGGGTCAGAGATGGCTAGCCAGACCACAGGGCAAGGTTTCATAGCAGAGCCAGGCTCCCTCATCTTTTCCCAGAGGGAACCATAGGGACCATCCGTGCACAGCTGACCAAAGCTACGTCCTTTCTTCTGGCCTGCCATTCTTGTTCTGCCCCTGGGGAGAAGGAGGCGTTTGGTGAGCTTAGAGAGGTTGGACCCAGCTTGGGGGTGGTGCCTCTGCAGGCCCTGGACTAGCTTTTCGCAGCCTAGAAATGCAGACAGGTGAGGGGCACACATTGTTCTCTGCGCTGGGTGTGTCTACTCCACACCCGAGCATGGAAGGCCCCTCATTGAGCCCAGAAGACCAACAGTTCGCTTGCCAGCTTGCCAAGTTCTTTTGCCAAAATCAGGACTTTGAAGGAAATCTCCAGCATGCTGGGCTCAGGGCGTCCTGGCCGTCCCCAGCCCCGGTGTCCCTGGGGACTTAGCAGCAACCCAGCATCATCAGGATGACTTTGAGCCTCTGTAACCAGGTATTGAAGCTGTTGGTCTCACCAGGCTGTTCCATGTGGCCCTTTGCTGGGCACCTCCTGGGGGTGGGGTGGGGAGTCTCTTTTTGTATAAATGACAAAGTGTTGAAATGTATTTCCTGAAATAAATGTTTCCATTACGAACTGGCTCAGACTGGAGCGGCCGTGGACTGTCTTACTGCAGGACCTGTGGATGGAGGCTCCCACTGGAAGGAAACCCTTCACTGAAGGGCCATGAGAAACCCTGAATTCAAACTTTTGAAATCAGTGGCTCAGTGGTGAAAAGGGCCTGCTGTTCTCCCAGAAGACTTGAGTTCAGTTAGCGGCACCCACCGCCTGTAATCCAGCTCCAGGGGGATCTGAAGCCCTCTTCTGGCCTCTGATGGCACCTGAACACGTGTGGCAGACACACGTGTTCATAAGTACAAATCTAAATTTTATTATGTCAGGCCCTACAAACTGGCTGTTAGCAATAATTTATTCCAAGAGAACTAACCCCGCATGGTTCTGGGGCCCTGGATGAGCCAGCCAGCAACACATGACCGCAAACCAGTCACCCTAGAACAAGTGAAGTCTACATCCTTACAGTTCTGAAATCCCTGGGTCAACTGTTGACCTGCCCCTGCCCCTTCCACAGTTCCCTGCCTCCTCCTGCTCCCGGGATGCTTTCACACACGCTATCCTCTTGAGAGAACTCTTCTTAGACGGAAGAGCCACTTCATCCTGGGATACTCTCTTCTTGATCTTTAATTACGTCTATAAAGATCCTGTTTCCAAATAAGGTTTCATTCTAAGGTTCTGCACAGGTGGGACTCTGGGGTGACGGACACACTGTTCGCCTCATCACACCCTTTCCTGCATCTTGGGGCTTCCAGAGCTAAAGGGAAGAATGGTATGTGTGGATGACCCAAAGCTCACTCGAAGCCACCAAGCCGAGCGCTCCCCGCCCCCCGGCTGCCCACATTCTTCTGAAGGCCGCTTGACAACAAATGGGTAGTGTGAGCAAATGGGTTGATGGTTTGCCGCCTTGAGGAATCTTCAAGTCAGGCATTATGTGGGTTTGACCACTGCTGGCACTGGCAGGGCAGAGGCTCGGGTCATGGAGTCAGCTTGTTTGAGTCCCCCAGTTAGTTCTCAGTCCCTTGGACAGGTACTCCCACCTCGAACTTCTCCTTCCTCCAGGCTAACCTGCCCCGTGTCCATCCCCATCATCCGTCCTCCATCCACAGACAGACTTAGGCAGTTGTCAGCTCGTTACCTGACTGGCCACCTGCCCAGCCTACCTTCCTCTCAAGCAAGAGGCTGTAGGACTAGCGAGCCAGCCATTCCCATCTGCCCAGGAACACGGGCTTTCTTGTCTCCTAGCTGGTAATGGGGGATCCTCATCTCCCACCAACAGAGCAAGCGGCCAGCAAGCCCCAGTGATAATGTCTCTGCTCTCTGATGTACTGGGGTTACAGGGGTGCATGGCTGTACCTGATGAGGAGGAGGATGATGAGGATGATGTGGGTGCTGGGGATCCATGCTCAGGTACTCGGGCTGACGCAGCATGTGCCACTGAGCCGTCTCCAGCCCCAAGTGTGGGCTCTTGGACGGGCAGGGGAGGAGAGGCTGGACAGAAGATCGTGGTGGCTTCATGGTGTGGGATTCCTGTGCCACTGACTTCCCTCCTGCCGGGCCAGCCCCAGCCTCACACGTAGCCAGCATGAGTGGTTTCCAGAGCAGTGTGGGGGTCCAGGATGGACTGTTGGTCACCAAGGCAGGAGCCAGGAGCAGGAAGGCGGCTCTGCTCAAGCTGCCTTAGGCTTCTGTGAGAACTGGGGTGTCCCACAGAGACGGCAAATGCCAGGTTTGAAGGCAGGAAACAGATAAAAAGCCACTGGGAGCTACTGAAGTGAGGCCTACCCAGTGTGCTGGGAACGTCTGAAAAGGCGGCTCGGAGGGGTGCCTGCCTGGGGGTCCCTTTGGGGGTTTTTGTGGGTATCCCATCCACTTGTGTGTGTTTGTGGGTGTACTTTGAGGGGGTTCATCTGTGAGCATGTGGGGGCCAGAGGACAACCTTGGTTGTTTGCTGTTTGTTTGTTTGTTTGTTTGTTTGTTTTTTAATGTGAGATAGGGGCTCTCATTGGCTTGGAGCTTCAAGCAAACAGGCTGGGCTGGCTGGCCAGAGAGCCCCGTGGAGCTGCCAGGTTTTGCCTCGCCGGTGCCGAGGTTGAGTGCCTCCATGCTGGGCTTTATCTGGTTCTGAGGATCCAAATCCACGTCCTTATATTTCAAAAACCATCACCTTACTGACGGAGACAGTCTCTCCACTCAAACAAACTTGTTTTCTTACTTAGTATGTGTAAATGTTTTGCATGTGTGTGTGTCTATGAACCGATGCCTGATGCCCGAGGAGGCCAGAAGCGGGTATTGGATCCCCTAGGGCTGGAGTTCCAGACTGCCATGTGGTTGCTGAGAATGGAAATAGGACCCGAGTCTTCTGGAAGAGCAGCCAGCGCTCTTAACCACTGAGACATCTTTCTGGCTCTGTACTCCATTTTTAAACACCTCCTTCCAGCTACAAGTATAGCCTATTCAATATGGAAAATGCTTGCGGGGGGGATTGCACAACATAGAAATATCCCCTCTCACATCCAGTGATTTTGCCTGCATCTAATGCTGGGGCATGGCCTCAGACTCTTGGGAGGGCAGTGATGAGCCCAGCACTTGAGAGGCTCAGGCAAGAGTATCCCAGCCCTCACCGAGTCCCTGCACCTTCTGCCTAGCTGGATTCCTCAGTCGGTGGAGTGCCCCTCTGCACCTCCCCTCTCCTCTTGCCTCTTGGAAGGAGGGGGGACAGAGGAATCTTGTTCCTGTCCTCACCTCATTTCCCTCCCCCCTCCCCGCCCCCGCACTGTCCCGTGAGCCCACTGGGGACCAGTGTAGGACAGAGGTGCATTTCCTGAGTTGGAGTAGAAATACTTTCCAGATGTTCTGCTGCCCAGAGCCCAGTCAGGAGGGGCCTGTGCAGCAGCAGCATGCCTGTGGGAGGGATGCTGGCTGGCGCCATGCCAGCACGAGGTGGCAGTCAATTGTCGTCAGCTGTTAGGCGCTCTTGGAGGGCCAGTGGGGAGCAGGGCTCAGAACCTCTCCTCCGTGCCGCCTCTGCACCAGCGTTCCTGCTGCCAGGGGCCACAGCCTGGAGTAAAACCTAAAAGGTGTGAACGACAGGCTCTGCCAGCCAGCCTTTCGGCTACTCGGCTTTCGCCATCACCCTCGGTGCCAGGTGGGGCACATTTCTGCTGTGGAGGGGCATGCCTACTCCCACCCCAGGTCTCTCTCTCTCTCTCTCTCTCTCTCTCTCTCTCTCTCTCTCTCGGTCTGTCTGTGTGTCTGTCTCCCTCTCTGTCCCCTCCCCTGTCATTCCCTGTCCGGGACAGCCTTTTACTCTCTCCCCTTCCCCAGTAAGCCTCTTGCATTACATGTGTCGCGTGCTGTGATCTTAGCTGCACACTTTGGTCCCAGACCTGCCAAAGGTAGCTTTTTACCGCCTTATCCTAACAGTAAGACCAGAAATAGTGGCACAGACCTGTGGTCCTGGCACTCTGCAAACGGAGGCTGCAGAACCAGAGAACAGCCTGGTTACATACGTACACGGTGAGACCCTGTCACAGAAGACTAAAGGAAGAAGTGAAGTTCCCCTTGCTTCCCTGATAAACCACACGATGCCTACATGCTGTAAACATGTGAGTGGCAGGCATGGGATAAGCCAGCACTGCCTGCTGGTCAACCTAGTCGTGAGTTGGAGTTAAAAATATGAAAATACAAAATGTACGCAGAGCTGGGCGCCGATTATCCCAGCACTGGGGAGGCAGAGGCAGGCGGATCTCTAAGTTTGAGGCCAGCCTGGTCTACGGAGAGAGCTCCAGGACAGCCAGGGCTATACAGAGAAACCCTGTCTCAGAAAACAAAAAACAAAAACCCAAAAACCAAAAAAGAAAAAAGTATGCATGTGTTTTGCATGCATGTGTGCCAGCATACAGGCTCTGTGTGTGTGTGTGCTGCGTGCATGCATGTGAGTGAATGGGTTCGTGTACTCGTGGGTGTGCATGGAGAGAGGACAGAGGACAGAGCAGGATACTGAGCATCTCTCTCTTACTGACTTGTGACAGGACCTCTCCCTGAACCCAAATCTCATCATTTGATTAGGCTAGCTGGGTCAGTGAACTGTCAGGATCCCCTTGTCTTCACACCCAGGAGTCTAAACAGGGAGCCCCTCTAGAGGAGGACAGAGGGGAGGCTCCCACACAGGTTCCCCTCCATCCTCCTGCGTGTTAAGGTCTGTAGATATGACCTCTTGCACAGTGTATGGACTCGACACCTGTCAAAAAAAAAAAAGCTTATGTCCTGTTAGCCAACCCAGGAAATAAGGAGGTGGGAGTTCCAGCAGAGAGATAGGAACTCTGAGGAAAAGACTGAGGTGGGAGAATTCACCCAGGACACTGAGGAGGACAGGCACATGAAACCTGAGCAGAGGTAACCAGCCACGTGGCAGAACTTAGACTAGAATAAACGGGATATTAACCACAGAGCAAGTCAGGGAACATGCCTGGTTATATTGGCCTAGGCTTTTGTAAATATATATATAGGGACTCAGAGTCATTGTTTCTGGGAACAAGGGTGTGGGTGAAAAACACAGGTCACAGAAAAACCTCACCTTTAAGGTATGAATGTGAAATGGCCCCTACAGCTCATGTGTTTGGGCACTTGCTCTCCAGCAGGTGGCGCTGTTCCAGGAGGAGCCTTTTGCATATGGAGAGGGTGAGGCTTGAAGGTTACAAGACGGTCCTTCTTTCTGCTTGGGCTTCCTATAGAGAAGCTTGGGCTTCTGCTTGGGCAGCTCCTATAGAGCTGCAGAGGAAGCTGCAGCACAAGCCCTGACCCAGCCATCATCCTTCCTGCCACGGTGGGTTGTCTGTCCATCAACCATGAGCCATAAAAAATCCTTCCTTAAGTTGCTGCTGTCACATATTTGGTGATAGTGGTAAAGATAACGACTTCACTGTATCCCTTTTGCTCCTATCCAGTCTCTGCTTCCTGGCTTAGGGATAGCCAGAGCCTCCCCATGAGTGGGCGAGTGCCTGCGTGCTGCTGCTGAGTTTTAG